ACAAACGCAGGACTTCAAACCGTACCAGGCCGCCATTAGGGAGAACCAAATAAAGAGGGGAGGAGCCGGCGGACCGCAGGACTAGCGTTTGGGACCGTGTATAGATTTGTAAAAATATTCACAAGACATTTTCAAAGACATGTACAGTGGCCGGGGTTATGAGGAAGAGGTGGGCATGAGGGGGTAGTAGGACTCATACACGACAAAGGCAACAAAGAGGGCTCGACGAATAATTTAAGCAGCGAGCTCTTCCTTTCTCTACTTTACGTTGATTTGATGCACTTGCTCATTGTATCTGTTCCGCACTCACTCCGCCAACGCCGCTTCGAGCTTGTCCGAAATCGTAAAAAAAGTCGTATTAGCATGCTAAAATTAAGCCTTAAGCTCAAAAAAGTAAATATCTTCTGAGACCAATAATCGTTTAAAATCGATTTTATGCTAATATTAATGTTATCCTCTCCTACCTTCGATCCGTACCGGACTTGATGATAATGAAATGTGCATTAGGGCCCCTCACCTGATGCGAATGAACTAACCAGAACGCTGCGAATAAGCCAATATCCGATTCAATTCGTTAGCACAACCACAATTCCCCGAGAGAATATATACCAATGATTTGATGCAGCGTCGCACCTAAGGTCATCAAAACTTTTCTGGCTCGATAGACATCGTATCAGTCTTGGGAATACTCCTTCACATTGGATCGTCCCGGAGTTATTAGTCCCACCAATTTGTCCAAGTGGAAGACGCGCCGCATAAGTGTGTATGATCGGTCTCAAATGTTTTTATGATTCCCTTTAACATTGATGAAATACGTAGTAAGATAACCATTCATTCGCTCCAAAGAATTCAGATCATGAATAACACAAAGTAGAAGACCTACAGAAGCCTCGAGAGCTCGAGAAGCATACTAGGATTTCTCATTAAGGAAACGCATTTCCTCCTTCCAGATTGCCGCCCCTGTCTTTTTATTTATACATCTCCGTCCAACGTTTGATTTTCACCACTTCAATTTTATACTGTTCCCTGATTTGTGGGGCAGCTTTGTGTAGATATGGCACGCGGCATAAGCGAAGCGATGACGGCAATGTAAAACAGGCAACTTTAAGGACTTTTTAATGGCGGAAAGTGAGGATCAAACGCCTCACAACGACATTCCCGTCCGTGCACTGGCGAATGTTACGGGGCTAGACCTAGGGCCAGCGCTCGACTTCGATGGTGTGAGTCTGGAAAACCGGGTGGATGTGGCGTCGGAGATCACCAAGTGCCTATCCAAGTCAATGCAGGCGATAGGCCTCGGCAAGGTTCGTACTCTCGACCTATGGTGGGAATTGCATGAGGACTGTCCCGCACTCATCATCGTGGACATGCACTACCTGGCCATTCCAGCGTCGTCGTCGGCCGTGGAGCGGCTGTTCTCACAGACGGGGCAGATCAAGTCCAGGCTGCGAAACCGGATGCAGCCTCAGACCCTGGACCAACTCATTTTCACACGCGTCAATTGGGAGGGTAGCCTTTAGAATGTCCGGCCAAAGCAGCCGATGGGGGCAGAGGGAAGCAAGGGTGGGGAGGCGGAAGAAGAGGTAAATGGGGAGGCGGAAGAGGAGGTGACTATAGAACAAATCCAGGCAGATGTCGAAGCAAGAGATTGCAGGTGCATCGGACAGTGAGATACAGGTCGAGGATGATCTCCGAGTGGATGCCTT